CCCATCACAGCAAATTGGGGTGCTTCAGGGCTCAGGGAGAGGGGATGCCCAGGCTTGGGAAGGGAGGAGGAAGAGGGATACCAGGGTGTGCCTGAGGGAAGGGGGAAGCAGCCCTGGAGTCATTTGGTCCCCCGGTGATACCAGGAGCCTGTCGCCCAAGTGCTGAGCCTCTTTGCCACATGTAGAAATGCAGCTAATGGGTGGTAGGAGTTGGTACCCCCAGTTTTCGGAGGTGGGGGGGACCAGCCCCTGCTTAATCCCTCCTGATGGCTCAGTTCCAGGCCCTTGTGACCCAGAGGATCTGCTGGACGGTGTGATTTTTGGGGCCAAGTACCTGGGCTCCACACAGCTGGTCTCGGAGAGGAACCCCCCAACCAGCGTCCGCATGGCGCAGGCCCAGGAGGCGGTGGACAGGATTAAGGTGCAGGAGGGCAGGGGGGACACGACTACCACCAGCCTGGCCCCTCGTGGGCTTGGGGCAGCACTCGGGACCTGCCTGGTGGGGGGACACCTCCCAGCTGTGGGGCAGGGACCCAGAGGAGTCCTGGAAGCAGCAGTGACCTCTCCTGGGCACGTCCTTCTGCAGGCACCGGAGGGGGAGTCCCAGCCCATGACGGAGGTGGATCTGTTTGTCTCCACACAGAGGATCAAGGTGCTCACGGCTGACACGCAGGTGAGCAGGGAATGGGAACAGAGCACCCACGTGGCTTTGGGACCGCTGAAACCTTCCTGTTTGGCCTTGGGATCTCTGCTTTGCACCCACGCCGGTGGGGTTGTGCCCAAGGGTGGCCTACGGGCAAGGACACGCATATGGGGGGAGACGTGTCACTCCGCAGCCATGCCACGCAGACCTGTCGTGTCCCTCGGCTGCCTGCATGGCTGCAGGAGGCTTCTCATGCAAACTGCCTTGCAGGAGCTGCTGGGTTCCCAGACTGAGCTCCAGGGAACCTAGGCTTGAAATTTCTGTAGCTCTTCGCCTCAGGATTAGTTTCTGCTTTATAGTAAGAGGGAAGAGCTATCTTGTCCCACAGCAGCACCTGGAGGCACGGATGAGTTCTTGATCGAAGGAGCTGTTCGTACCTTTTAGCATAGACATGGTTTCTGCCAAGTGTGTGCCAGGCATTTGAGCTGCATCCTGGCACGGTGGCGTTTGAATCCAAACCCTTCCTGCTTGTGGGGGTGCCTGGCTGGCTTATGGGCTGCCCCCAGGGTCTGCCAGGCCAGGGAGGGCTGAATGTCTCTGCCTGTGCCCCCCTTGCCAGGAGGCCATGATGGATCACTCCCTCCAGACCATCTCCTACATCGCTGACATCGGCTCTCTCGTGGTGCTCATGGCACGTCGGAAACTGCCTCAGCGGTCGGAGGTGACAGAAGAGAAGCGGCTCTACAAGATGATCTGCCACGTCTTCCACTCAGCCGACGTGAGGCGACACGCGAGTCCCTCGGGAGGGCAGGGTGGTGTTGGGGTCCTGGGCCCCGTCCCGCTGTAATGACCGGGTGCTCTGGATCTCCGTGCTGGGGGCTCCTGATGAGTACAGAGAGGGGGAAGGAGCCCAGTCTGAGCACCTCTGCCACGTAGAGGGGCCCAGCGAGAAAAGGGGGGAGGACTGGCACTGTAAAGGGGCCCATTCTGGCAGGGAAGGAGCCAGGATGCCCTGGAGCTCCCCGGGCATGGTGCTGTGCTGGGCATTGCAGGACGCTGGCAGCTGTTGGCTCCAGTTTGGCCGTGAAACCGTTGTCCCTGAGCCATGGGCACAAACAACCCCTCTCTTTCCCCAGGCCCAGATCATCGCTCAGGCCATCGGGCAGGCGTTCAGCGTGGCCTACCAGCGTTTCCTGGAGGCCAACAGCATCGACCCGAGCGAGCTGAGCCCTCGCCAGTACAGCCGTGCCCTCGAGGACCAGGAGCAATACAATGCAGAGCTGACCCACTTCTCCCGGCAGGAGAACTGCAAGGATGTAAGAGCTGCTTTGGAGGGGTGGGGACAGTGTAGGGTACCCGCTGGCGCCTCCGTGTCATCCCCTCCATGGCTCCCTGCAGAACTGGGCGCTGTCCCAGCTGGCTGTGAGCCCAGGACACCCATGCTGGGGCTGGGACGTGTTGCCCCATGCCTCTGGTGACTGTAACCTGCCTGTGCCCCCTGGCCAGGTCTGCATCCGGAAGCAGAAGGGAGAGATCCTGGGCATCGCCGTCGTGGAGTCGGGCTGGGGCTCCATCCTGCCTACAGTGGTCATTGCCAACCTGATGCACGGGGGCCCTGCGGAGAGGTCAGGCGAGCTGAGCATTGGCGACCGCCTCATGTCCGTCAACGGGACGAGCCTCGTGGGGCTGCCCCTCGCCACTTGCCAGAGCATCATCCGGGTGAGCCAGGGCTGTGGAGGGCGAGTGCTGGCAGAGACGGGGAGTGTCTGTAATGCTGGGGTCCCCCGATGCTCCCGGCTTGGGGGTGGATGGGCGATAGGAGGCTGTGGGGGCAGAGGTCCTGTGGTCTGTGACAGTCCCTGCTTGTGAGTGCTTGGGAGGAAGGGATGTGACACGGCAGGGGACAAAGCTGGGGACTAAACTTGCTGTGGCAGGGTGCGGGCAGGGCCCTGCCCAAGGAGGAGCGTGGGTGAGGGAGCAGGCATGTGTCCTGGGGGGAACCTGTTGCATCTTCTGCCTCCCAGGCAGGAAGGAGCTGAAAGCAAGAACAGTGTGGCCTCAGGGGCAGAGAGGATGTCTTGGACTGGATTTTTAAGTTGTTCTCCCTGAATTAGAGCATGGCAGTAGCCCTGTGTGTGCTTCAGTTTCCCCACTGAAAACAGGTTGCTAATCCTCAGGCCTCCCATGAGCAACACGGCTGCATCGCCCCTCTCAGCAATGCCAAATAGCTCTCCAAAGTCTGATAAAGCCCCATCCCATCTTCCAGGAGCTGAAGCACCAGACGGAGGTGACACTGAACATCGTGCACTGTCCCCCTGTCACCACAGCTGTCATCCGGCGCCCCGACTCCAAGTACCAGCTGGGCTTCTGTGTTGAGAATGGCGTGGTGAGTGCCCGCGGGGATGGGAGCAAAGCCTGGCCGGGATCGGCCAAGGGCTTCAGCCGCCCGTCTGGCAGAGGGACACGCAGTTCAGGTTGCGTCTGCATGGACGAGCGCACAGCTCAAGTGCTCCTTGTGCCTGCCAGGGCTGAGGTTTCACAGGGCTCTGCCGTGCCACAGCACAGGGCTCTTCGTAGCTCTCCTGCAGCACCGGTGGTTGGGTCCGTCTCCGTGGTGCTCCTCAGCTGTTTGCTTTCAGGGTGGTGGTTTCTTCCTGGCTTTCTTGGCATGACCTTCGTCATGTTGCTGTACCCTGGTGCTCCAGCCACTCCCTGCGTTGGGCTCCACAGTGGCTGTGTGTGCAAGGCAGAGAGGAGCGTTTCCCGGACCAGAGGGAGTTGATGGGGTGGGTGGGCGGTGGAGGGGTTGGCACGGCTACATCGTGCACCGCCCGGCGCTCCCAATAGTGTTGGAGACGCAGTTACCCCACAGGCATGCGGGAGCTGTCGCCCCAGGGAGAAGCTCTGGCTCTGCAGCCCAGGCTTGATGGGAGCACAAGGGGTTGGTGGGTGGATGGGGAGAGCTGAGCCCTGTCAGCCAGGGGAACAGAACCCTGCGGGCTCAGCACGTGGCTCCCATGGCAGCAATGCACGGGGACATCCCTGCCCTCGCTGCACCCCATGAGCTGGAGGAGACAGCACCCAAGTTCAGAGCCCTTGCCAGCAGCCTGCACGGATGAGAGGGTTGGGGCGGTGGTTGTGCTTGGCTCTGGGCGGTGGGCACCGCTCTGAGCCCTCCCTGCTCCCTAGATCTGCAGCCTTATGCGTGGGGGCATCGCAGAGAGAGGCGGCATCCGCGTGGGGCACCGCATCATCGAGATCAACGGGCAGAGCGTGGTGGCAACGCCCCACGAGAAAATCATCCAGATCCTGACGCAGGCGGTCAGCGAGGTGAGCTGGGCGGGGTGACGGGCAGGGCTCCCATGCTGCGGGGCGGCTGCACGCGGAGCAGGCTGGGCTCAGGGTTTTGTCCCAGCGCCCTCCAGCCCGGGCTTTGGCGTCTCCACGCTGATCTGTGTCTCTCTGCCTAGGTGCACATCAAGACCATGCCGGCCTCTACGTACCGCTTACTGACCGGCCAGGAGCAGCCCGTCTTCCTCTGAGCTGCTGGCTGTGCCCAGCTGGTGCTGCACGTGCCTGGGGCCAGGCAGGAGCGAGCCCGGGGCTGTGAGGGCAGGACAGGCTCTGCCTCCTGCCCCAGCACCCTCATCTGAGCCCTCTGATCCCCAGCAGGGCCTAATCCTGCACCTCTTCAGTTTTACTCAGGACACAGTGGGAGACTCCAGAGGCCTGATACCCAGCTTGAGCTGTGTCAGGGCCTATGGTGTCATGATTTGGGCACCTCCTCTCCCTCCATCCCGCCCCTTCTCGCCTCACAGTGCCTGCATGGTGTCTGTCCCGTGCTTCACAGGGTCCCTTGCCTTGGCCCAGTGCTG